AGAATAGAGAGAAATTGGGGTAGAATATCAAATTATTTCATTATCAAAGTTGTTCGAATTACATCGCATAAGACCCCTTTGTATAGTTTTTCAAGAATCCCATTCTAAGTGGGAAATATATAATAAAAAGTAATTAAATCAAACCCTTCATTATGTTTCTAAAATAATCAAACTTGAAACAGTAAATAAATAATTATCTCTTATAATATTCCATTAGTGACTTTAATTGTAATTTCCAGAGTCGAAATACTACCTTGATGTAGCAGTCGGATGGTTAGATGGCCTACTCAGTAGGAATGTTGAGAGAATAATCGATCACCAAATGATTATGGGCTCAGTATATTATATATATACCGAAATCAACACCACAAAGTCATAAACTAAAACCACAACCCACACCCAATCCGGTTGCTATTCAATTTGCCATTTTGTCCACTAAAGACACAAGTAAGGGGTTATTGTAGTCACACAATAGCCACAAAGACTAGGAGAAAGGAGAAAAAGAATGCACTGCAAAGGAAGCACAAAGCAAAAAGATGGAGCCAGTATCTCTCAAAAGAAAAGGAGGCTCAGCAATAACGTTCTAAGTAAACACAATGCAGCGGAAACAACCAATATATAGTATAGGTAGGCTTTTTAGGATAAACAGTGATTGAACCCAATAACAGGTAACTAATAAATGGGCCTAATACCCAAAAAAAGTCATCCAAGGAATAACGAGTCAGGCCATGGGTGACTCTAATTAAATTAGGTTACTTTAAATGCTCAAATAAGTTGTAGGTTTAAGTCGTTACATTCGTGGTGTTGATATTTCACTTAAGTCATTGGTCGATCCCAACTAAATAAACAACAACTTAACATCTTCATCCATGAGGTCGATTGGCAACAATTTGCCTAACAAGGGACATTGGCAATACCATAGAAATTTTCTTACTATCTGAAGTCTGGTTTGTTATTTTCTCACTTCTGATTCAAATTGTTTCTGTATCCGAAAATTCGAAGCAATTAAATCCTCTAGTAATGTGGGTTGGTTTGGACTACTACGTTTTACACTGTCCTATCCAAAAGTACCAGCTTGAAGTCATGGACGCACCTTGAGTTGGCCAATAGTGTGACTTGTCAGATATATTGGGTCACATAGATTCACCGTGCTCTTCTTGTTCGTGGAAGCTGCCTCTTCCAGCCTTGTCCATCTTAAGGTTTGAGATTCCTAGTATATTCTGGAGTTCCTATTTCCAGGCATCAATAAACCCATGGAAAAGTTCTTATGGCAGTGTCAGTCCTTTTTGAATGTTGACTTCAGCATCTTGTACTGTGTAGGAGACATGATGAACAAGACCTCGGTTAATCGGTTTCAAGTCTGTCAAGGCGATGTTTATTCGAAACCTAGACTTACTTGAGGCTTCTTTACATGCTGTCAATATTACAGTTATCTGGAAAGTTAGAGCCAGAAATAAAGATCTTCAACTTCTCATCTTTGATGCACGATGATCCCACTTGATGGAAACCATCAATTTTCCACTAAAAGTCTCCTTTTTAAAGTATAAATTTGTCGAATTTTGGGGATTCAAATATCAAAATGAAAAATAATTGGAGACTACACTCCTTTATTTGTCAAAGGTTGGAGACAAAAGCCATAATTTCCCTCTTTCCTTAATCCTTATGCAATCTAGTATGTCCTTGTGCAATCTATTGTGTATACTACTTTTTAAAGTGGTTGCATTTTCTTAACCATGTATGCATAGTAATTTTTTCGTTTAAAGCATCAAAGCTTATAATCTGCAAAATTTCCCATTGTAAATGGTTTCTGATGATTAGTTCTAGTTTCTTCTGTCGATGGGTTTGGAAAATACATTCTATAAAAGAGTGTCAGTTCAGTTCACGGTAAAAAGGAAATTAGATGCTGCAGTGTGTGTGACAGAAGATTTCTAGCTGGATTTCATAAGCACGTGAAGCCAGTTCCTGGTGAATTACTTATTAACTCACTTGTTTATCACTATTTTGGCAATTGAGACTCACTAATAAAATCTTCGTACAGAATAGATATTCAAAATTTGTTAGCCCCTGCTGTGTAGACAGCCCGGCTTTTTCTTCCATTTCCTTATTTTCTACAATTATTCAGCAAACACAATTGTTCTGTGCATGTTCTCAAACCATAACCTTAGTGTGTTATTTCAAGAAAATTAGCAGTTTTGCCACAAAACAAGGAAATTTCCGTCTCGGTGTTTCTCCAGATGTTAGAATTTCTGAGTATAATGTGTTGGTGAAAATTCAATAATAAAAAAATGGAATTACAAAATGAATAGGAAGATAACGAAATCGGACGGATTGAGGCACGGCTATCTCGCTCTTTTTAAGGAGATTCAAGCCCTCTGCGGTTGGCCAAAGTTGATTGGACCTAGGGCATAACACTTACACCCCCTGCACCATGTTTCTGACTAGAGCCTTTGGGCAAAAAGCCCACAGACCGTTCCGAGCATAAATTGGGCTATACTGACCCATGAGAGACCCGTAGCCCGATTTACACCTCTAGATATCTTGTCTATTTATGTGAAAGGGAAACGAGAAAAATAAAGATAAAAATCTTGTCGTTTTATCTTACTTGTTAAACATGATCACGATTTTATCTCCGCAATGTTAGCATATATACAATGAAAAGCTTATTTTCTCGAGTAAGCATGCGTGGTGGCATGGCTAAGACCATAGGTTATGAGCTGATTGATGACACGGGAACCTGAATTTACTTGTCTTCACTGAAAAATACAGAAAAATTCAACACCTTATCACAAAAATGACGTTTTCAATTTTGATGGCCGGCTGCTTTATGGAGCAGGCAAATGTTGAAGCAAGAATAATGCCATTTCTGATATCGATAGAAAGATAACTAAATGGCTTATTGCATTTGTTTTTCTCTTTTTATTTTGGAAGATATCTTCTGTTGAGAAAGTTAAAGAAGCTGACAGACAACTCCTCCTGAATTATTGAACCAGGTTGCAAACTGTGTTACGATGGAACAGATGAATGTACCTGTTAGTTGAATATTATTTGAACTTCCATTTTTGTTTTTTTATGTCAAATATTTCATTTTCACATTATATTCGCCACATTACGACACCAATTATGAATTTTACATTTGTTGCTTTCAAGTTTCATGTTTAGGGCAGCAAAGGACATTGAATCTGGAAATATCACTTCCCACTTGTCTTCATTTACTTGCAAAACATGAGTGATTATATATCTCACATCTCTCGAGTAGCCATATCACTGAGCTGAGCCACGAGCCAAAACTTGAAGCTCGGGCTCGGTTCGAGGCTCCCAAGCTTTCGGCTCGAGCCTTAGTGGGCTGAGCCAGCTCTTTTTTTTTTTT